CCCTAAACCCCAAACCCTCAAAAAATGTAAATCCCCCACCTCGCCGCATGGCTGCCATGTCCAGGCGGAGCTGCTCGGCGAAGAGCTGGCCGATGCGCTCGAAGAGCGCTCGGTAGACGGGGTCGCTGTCGTAGCGCTTCCTTGACATGGTTTGGGGTTTAGGGTTTAGGGATATGGGGTTCAGGGTTTGGGGTTTGGGGTTTAGGGTTTAGGGTTTGGGGTTTAGGGTTTAGTGTTTAGGGATATGGGGCTTAGGGTTTAGGGTCTGAGGGCTATATTATCCCCCTATAATGGAGAATCAAATGGAAAAGAGAATGGAAAATGAAATGGAAACTGGGGTTTATAGGGATATATGAGCTATAGTCTAAACTCCTAGTATCCCTCTTAATAACCCCGAAAATACTTTCTATAGGATCCACTGTATAACCCTCTGTCAGGAGTTTAGACTATAGCTCAAACAGAGGGGTTTGGGGTGGACTTCATGTTTCTTGAATGTCCTCACCTGGGTTTTAGGTGACACCCCCATATCCTAAACCCCAAGCTTTTTATCCTAGCTTCAAGCCTTCAGCCCTGTGAAGCCCAGCTTAACTCTAAAAACTTACAGGTGCTCAAGGAAGACTCAGGGTGTGTTGTACTATGATACGGGACTATGTAATTCAGGGATCCGCTCCACCCACTGCCAGCCCTAAACCCTTTAGGGTTCAGCGCTAATAATAATCATGCGTTTTCCACCCCCCCCAAGCCCTCCTGAAGCCCCTTAGGCCCTTTAAACCCCTTTGCGCTCTTTTTAAAGACCACCCTTTTAAACTCCTAAACCCCCTTAAGCAACAACAAGGAAAAGGAGGGCACCCTGCGGGGCAAGCGTCAGCGCTTCAGCTGCCATTTCCAGGCGAGAACCTGGCTTAGAGTAGATTTACAATTTGGTTCGGTGGTTTGGGGGTCTCCTTTTTGAGGGGTGTCGTTTTGGGCTATATTGGGGTCCCCCCGTTTTTGGGAAGGTACCATATACAGGCATTACATACGGACCTATTGGCAGGATGAATGGTTTAGGGTTCACACCCTAAACCCTCAACCCTAAATCCTAAACTCTCAACCCTAAAACCCTCAACCCTGAACCCTCAACCCTAAACCCTATTGGGCTGGAGTGCCTGGCCGATAGTTGCCCACGCCCGGGATGCCAGCATCCTCCAGGGTGTACCTGGGTAGTTCCCAAGATTAGGGCTTTTTTTGTTTAGGGTTTTAGGGTTTAGGGTTTAGAGTCCGAAAATTAAGGTCCCATTTTAGTACCCCAATTAGAGGTATATAAAGGTTCTATAAGGATAATGGAAAAGAAAATGGAAGCTACTGTTGAGGGTTTAGGGTAGTTCCCAAAATTAGGGTTCGATGATTTGTCGCAAAGAGTGGTTAGGTTTATGGCACAAGGCGTAGGGGAATCCCGGGGTTGCGGATACTAAAAGGGGTGCAAAGGGACTGGAGCTTTCAGAGTTTAGGGGTTATATAGGGTTTAGGGTTGGTATAGGGATGATGGAACAGAAAATGGAAACTACTATAATGGGTTCTATAGGGTTTAGGGTAGTTCAGCATGCAAGGGCTTAGGCAGGTGCAGGCAGGTGCAAGCGTGAAGGATAATTACACACTTTGTGGTATGCTCAGCAATCGAATAGAATTCACTTTAGAACGGTTTGGGGGTATCCTGGTGGTTTTAGGACTTAGGTTGCGCGGCTCAACTTTGTCTTGTCAACAGTTCTTGGCTATGGGTAATGTACATGGGCTTGCTATTGAAGAGCATACTTAAGAGTTTGTTCCAATGCCCTAAAACCCCTAAACCCTAAACAGTAACTTTCGGTTTCTTTTCCATTATCCCAACATATACTTCAGAGTTTGTCCAAAGGCCAACAACCTTGTTTCCGCCGTTCAAACTATCTGGCAAGCGTGATGATGAGATGAGACGAGCCATCGTCTTAATCCCTAGGATCCCCCCTAATAACCCCTAGAATGGTCCCCTACATAATCCCATACATAACCCTTTATGGAGTTTAGATTATGGTTCAAATGGCTCGTCAACTTCGCTTTCAGTAACTTGTCGCACGAACAGGGATCAGTACCCCAAAGCCCAAATTCCATCCCCAAGACACTGAAGTATGGCTTCCTGGGTGTTCCTTGTTTGTAGGGTTAAGGGTTTAAGATGTGGGGTTTAGGGTTCAGGGTTTAGGGTTCAGGGTTTAGGGTTCAGGGTTTAGGGTTTAGGGTTTAGGGTTTAGGGTTTGGAAGCCTGTGGGTATTCACCTGTTGTATCTACAAGCGTCTAGCATGAGTTCCCCAGCTGCTTGGAGCCGCGTTGCTTGCGGTCCGCTGGTGCGTCCTGCAATGCTCTGCTTGTTCAACAACTTGGAGTTTGGGGTTTTGGGTGAACTATGCGGCACATGCATGCGCTCGCGCAACCGGCCAACCAATGTGAAGCTTGAATAGAATTAAGAAGGGAGCCCTCGCATAACCCCCATGATAGTCCTATGTGATCCCCTTATAGACACAACATATCACCTGGACTTGCACTGCTGTCGTTGTTATCGCCTAGGTGGTGCTCTCGTTGCCGTGGCCGTGTTCCGAAGTCCTAAAACCTGAACTCTGTCTCTGAACTGCACCCTAAACCCAAAACTCTGCACCCCTAACCCCCAAGAGCGTAAGAACTTTAACCAAAAGACTCAAACCCTGAGCCCTCAACCCTAAATCCAATCCATGTGATCCTCAATCCAGCAACCGTTCAACCTAGATTCCTAACCCTGAGCCTTGAATCCCAATTCACTACATCTCCAAGCCTTGCTACTCGGTCTTAGTTTAGGGTTTAGGACCAGTTTAGGATTTAGGATTTAGGGTCTATGATTTAGGGTCACCCTACACCCTAAGCCCTACACCCTGCAAGCCAAATCCTGGACCCTAACACCTACACCCACACCCCAAGACCCCAGACCCTGTGCCCTGAAAACCTACATACACCCCCAACCCTAAATAGTAGTTTCCATTTTCTTTTCCATTCCCATATTTATCCTGTACGAGCCCTTCATAATCCCTACATAGCCTAAACCCTGAACCCAAAACCAGGTCCTTGCAGCGCTTATAATGGCTGTAGAGAGCCAAGTCCCGCTGCAGGCTACGTTCCTGTCCCTCGCAGATGCGCGCCAGCACCTTTCTCAAACACTTAGCCGTTTCGGGTTTAGGTTTTTAAGGTTTTGGGTTTGAGGTTTAGGGCTTCGGGTTTAAGGGTTTAGGGTTCAGGGTTCCAAAATGAAAAGGGAACCCTGTATAGCCTCCCTTGGAAGGCTATGTGGCGCGGCTTGAAGATTATGGCGCGTGTCTGCTATAATACGACCTGACATGTTTAGGGTATCCTGAGAAAGGGGACCTCAACTTTGTCAACCCGCCAATTTACTTCCTGCCCCGAAAGCGTGTGGGCACGAAAGTTGCGAGCAGGAAAGTGGTGGAGTGAATCTGGGACTGTAGGGGATTTTATCCGGACTTTTGTAAGAATCCACTCCGCCACTGCCTGTTAAGCACCAGTACGTTTAGAGGTTGCGATTTTTTCGGTTCTGGCTTCAGGCTTCGGCAAGCCTTTAGTGTAGGGTGTAAGACCTCGGGCTTGGGGCTCGGGACTTCCGGTTTAGAATTTGAGCTTTAGGATGCAAGGTGTTCGATTGTCGATACGGATTGAGATGCTGGCATCGAGTGGTTACACAATGATGCAGCAGGCGTTATGTAAGGCTCCCTTGGACCCCATGTCTGAACCTCAAAGCCTCGACTATGAAGGATAACAAAACAAGCGAGGCAGAAATATGTTTAAACAATTTGGGGAAAATGTTTCCCCCAATTGTTTAGTTGGAGCCTAATTATCTGAACGGAGCGTGCCTCCAGCAGGCCCTTCCAGTAGTTGCACTCAGGCACCAAATGCAAATTGGCCAAGAGCGTGGCTGGGTCCTGGTGCCCAAGCTGCACGTTTTGGAATTTGGCAGATTTGGAGTAAAGACCCGCCGCTTTGCGGTTTAAGGTTTGAAGCCTGTTCTTTTTTCTGAAGTCTAATGTTGGAGACACATCTCGCCCCTTTGTTGACAATTTCCGGAGTCTTCACCTTCTTTGCAGCGCTACTGTTAGTTGCCCGGTTCTTCCGTTCATGTCTATTCATAGAAAGTCATTAAGCGCGACTCCCCTTGAAATCAGGATCTAACTCTGGGAGCCCCAAGGGGCCGGGGCCCACAATCATCAACCGTAAACCTCAAACGGTAAGCCCCGAAACCCTAGACCCTCTAAATCCCTTACCCCACCTCCCCAGAACCCTTAACCCTCAGCTCACCCTGCAGCCACCATTGCAGTAATGTCCTTGTACCACAGCCATACCATGGCGTCGTAGAAGGAGTAGCGGTCCTGCGGTCCGTCTCCGGATCACACTTTGGGCTTCGGGTTTTCAAAGAATTCCTGCAAGTTAGGGGTTTAGGGCTTGGGCTTCCATTAGTATCAGTCAGGGCAAAAGGTCTAGGATTGAGATTTTGGGTTCTAGAATTTGTGGCTTACGCCTTGGGGGTGCATGATTGGCTTATTACAAAACAGACCGGTTCCCCTGTTCAAGAATACCCGCGATTCTGGCAATATAAAGTCATAATGGGAGTCTTCAATAATCGGGGTGGCAGGTGTGCTTTGCACGGAATAGGTGAATACTGCTTCGATGACATTTCCACATGATAGTGCGGTCCTGCCCATTATCTACTATCAGTCTTACGGCTGCGGAATCACAAAGTAGACGGCATCATGAAACGCCTGAAAAGCTTGAGCTAGTTATAGTCACAGTAAGTAAAACCTGGACTCGGACGCTCAAAATAAGACCATGGTCCTGCTTGCCATCCCGAGATCCAAGCAACAGTATCTGCTTGAGGCAGACCTTCACTGCGGTGGTTAGCATCCTTATGAGAAGAATAGAAAGCCAAAAATGTCACGTACACATATGTACACACACGCATATGTGTACATATACTATATATATATATATAGAGAGAGAGAGGGAGAGAGAGAGAGAGAGAGAGAGATTGACAGTGAGCGCGAGCAGAGAGAGCGAGAGCGACTCTTCACGCTGTAGGGAAGTTTCCGTCCCCGAAATCCAGAACCTAAAACTTAAACCCCATACCCCAGAAACTGATATTTACCCAACAAAAACGAACCCAAAAAAATACAAAAGTCTTCAAAAAAATGCCCAGCAGACCTCCGGGCTCTCAGCCCAAGCCTTGTCCAGCAGTCCCTTCAGCTGCGTGTTCTCCTGAGTAGCGATGTTTTGGTATTTTTGCACGAAGTGAGATAACATTCTTTTTATAATTGACCACATGCAAAAGGATAATATGATCCTGCGGAAAACGCGGGACTGTAGCCTTGTTGTTTGAAATACGGGTTTAGAGGTTACGGCTTCAGGGTGTTAGGGCTTTCGGGTTTTTAGGGTTTTCGGGCTTAGAGTTTTAGGCTTTGGGCTTCAGGATGAAGCGTTTCAAATATCTAGGTTTTAGGGTTTAGGTCTTAGAGTTTAGGGTTTAGGGTTTAAGGTTTAGGGTTAGGGGGTTCAGGGGTTGAGGTTTCGAGCTTCAAGTGTAAAACCTGGGTTCAGCATAGTATGTGAACATGTAGAGTGGATTGACGACCCGGACAATCGTTTTCCCACTCAGCCTTCAAAGGTGAAATCCTGGGGGCCGATTCCCAGAGGCATCTTGCTTCTAAAGTAGGCTTGCGCAAACATGAATACAAAACATGACTCAACAAAGATTCAGTTTCCCTTGGCTTCCCCTGCGGAACGGACTGGAAGAAAAAGTCCAGGTTGGCGGAACCTGTGTCCTGAAACATCTTGCCCCCGACTTCTGTGTCCGCCAATGGCCTCTCCTAAGTGTGCGTTCTGACACCTATGACAAAGTCAAATCCTTACAGACTTTAGCAAGGAAATAAAACCTAACAACGCAGCTCAATTTGACTTCAACTTGAAAAATTGGAGCCCCAGTTGCCGGGTCGACAAAGGACATGATGTGCTTCACCACGTCACGCCTACCGACACTGGGCCAAAGCAGTGCGCTGCAGGCCTCCTTGTCCAGGCACCTGAGCCTGCGCCTGACACAGGCACGCATTCTTGCCATGTCTCGTCGCAAAAACGAAAAATTCCCATTCATGTGCCCCATCAATTTACAATCCTACCTCCCCCCAAGTACTATAAAGCTGAAACCCCAACTTTAAAAGCAAAAACAAGCTTGGCGCCTCAGGACGGCTTCTGTGGAGACTGCTGACACAGGAACCCGGAGCTTTGCCGAGCCAAACGTGCGGGGCGCTTGCGGAAGCACCATGCGCCTCGGCGCGAGGCTTGCAAGGTTCAGGGTATCGATTGTCAATTTTCGGGCGTGGGTTTGATTAGGGTTTAGGGCTTAGGATTTCAGGTATAGGGTGTAGCGTGTAGAATGATACTTTCGGGGAGGTTTTAAGCCCAGAACATCTCCAGCACAGAAATATGGTTCCTCCCCTAAACCCCTGAACCCTAAACCCCATGGTCTGGGATGACTAACCTCCCCAGCAAGCTGGAACCCCAACAAAAAGGTCTCAACAGGCGCTAGATGTTGCTCCACCGGCTCCATGTTCATTGGGGTTAAAGGTTTGGGTTTAGGGTTTAGGGTTTAGGGTTTAGGGTTTAAGGGTTGGGTTTAGGGTTTAGGGTTTAGGGTTTAGGGTTTAGGGGTTGGGTTTAGGGTTTAAGGTTTAGGGGTTTAGGGCTTTAGGGTTTAGGGGCCCAAGACACACGCTCTAAACATGTATGTGTCATGTGCTTCTATACATGTATACATCCTGTTCAATAAACAACCAAAAGAAACGCATAGGGTTCCATGTTAGGTTACCAAGTTTTCCCATATGACATACCTACATATTATGCGTGGGATACTCCTATACATATTCCATCCATGTACTCCTTAGATATCATAATATACGGGGTTCCATGTTGCTTGGGTGAGTCTCAAGAAAGGTTTATAAGCCCAAACCCTAAACCCTACACCCTACCATCTGCAGAATGAAGACACTGCAATGATGGAACACCTGTAAATTTATACCTCAAAATCCAAATGTGGACTGGATTGAGATGACTGACCACCTAGAGAGCCCTTTTGTACCCAAATAGTATGCCTTGCCGGCTTTTTTAATGTAGTGCTGGTAGGCCTATGCCCTAAACCCAAAACAGAAACCCTAAATTGCAGTTTTCATTTTCTCTTCTATCATCCACATATAACCCCTATATAACCCCAATATAACCAAAGCCCCCAAACCCTGAACCAAGATCTCCTTGCAACTTTTGGCGCCTCCTTTCGAGGCCCTTAAGCTCACTAGGCCCGCAAAGGCCCAGAAACCCGCTGTCCTGTAGGGTTTAGGGTTTGGATGGGTTTGGCGCGTGGGGCTGGCGTTTTAGGTATGGGGTTGGACTTTGGGGTTTGGGGTTGGAGTTAGTGTGTTGGAGTTTTTTGTTTGGGTTTAGGATTAAGGTTTTGGCGTAAGGTTTCAGGATTTTTGGAGAAATCAGGGTTGGCTCTTGAGTCAGGGCCCGGGGTGTTGGGATGAAGCCTGTCCCAAAGAACGCTGAACAAGAATTACGGACAAACTCGCAGCAGCCACTCCATTCACAGGTTTAGGGTTTAAGGCTGAGGGTTTAGGGTTACATCCCCAACCGTAATCTCATGACGGTAGGAATGGCACTAGCAACCGGAATCGCATAAGTCGTACTTGGTCCAACTTATTTGGATACCTTCCAAGCAGAAGGTCAAAGTCCTGTAACCGCAAAACTAGGTGATACCCCCAAGTTCTATAGGGGGTCAGGGTTTAGGGTTTAGGGTTATGGGTGTACCGCACTGGGCACCCAGAAAGGTTTGGCCCTAAACCCTAAACACGCAGAATAACCCTATGTGATCTTCATATGGTCATATACCCCGAGTATCCCCTAGGGCACGGGCTTTTCAAGAACAACGCTAAACCTCTAAACCCCAAACCTCTAAACCCTAAACCTCTAAACCCTAAACCCTTTAAACCCTGAACCGTTCCCTTAAGAAGTACCACTTCGGGGCTGACCTCGGCCTTGAGCTTGGCATCAGCGGGCCACTTCATGCCAGGGTCCAGCTTCCGGGAACCTGTAATCCCCTTGGACCTACGAAAAAATGCTTAAGGAACTCACCGTAAGTTACCATAACATGATTTAGGGTTTTGGGTTGGTTTCTGTTAAGGAATTTAAATGAATTACCATGATCGGTATTTATAGCAAAAAATAGGGTTCCCCCAAAAGAGTAACTTTTAAATTGAGCTCCTTAACAGCAACCCAGTAGACCTATAAAAAAAATTGTTTGTGTCGTAGTTCCTAGCGCCTATACTACATAAAAATGAAGAATAACTCCTAATGGGTTGCGTAGGAGGAACTGGCTGGAGCTCGCTGGCAATTCGGCATCTTCACTGCGCAAGCGAGGCTCTAACGGCCTGGGGATTCACTGATCAAACCTGCTGCTGCTTGGAGCCAGGAATCACAGGCGAGTAGCGTTTTGTCAGTGGTGATCCAAGTAAGGCTATGTTCTGTAAACAGATTCTATTACCAAAAGGAAGATATGATCCTACTCTATATTGGGTACCATACTATCCGCAGATCGAATACAGTCAGGCGACGGGCGGACCGGTGGAACTGCACTAAAATACTTAGCACCGCTGCAGGGATAAGATTTGTTATGCCAATAGAATACTCTGGCATTGGTGCTACAAGGGTTAAGGGTTCAGGGTTCAGGAGAATGTGCCTGGGTGGAAACTATAGGCATAGGGTGTTTTGGCCTGGAAACAGAATACAGGGAAATTCTGAGTAGGGCCATTGTCTGGCATACAGGGAAAAACACTGAAAACCCCAAAACCCTATACCCTTAAAACTCATCTGACCTGGGGAAAAAATGTCTACTCTGATACGACAAAACATATGAAACAGGCTTCCATGTTAGTTTTGGTGTATATACTGGGGTAATATAGGGACAATTAGATAGGGTTATATAGGGAGTATAGGGGACATATAGGGGTACTAAGCATATGAAACCGAAAGCCTAGCGAGATCAGCACTTGTTGATGTAGCTACACCCCAAACCCTATTCCTAAACTTGATGTAGCTCCACTGGCCTATGTGTCAGCGCTTGGATGTACGGCACGCTCGCTTGAAACAACATAATCTGCAGATCAACTCGCAAGACAGCAGAAGACGTACTGGGATTGGTAGGGAATCAAGGAATATAATCCCTACATAATCCTTATACCCTATACAATGTACGTATCTCCTCGGGCCCGCCTAAGCCAAAGTAAGCAGAAAAGCAGCAGCATCCATAGTAGACGCTCCCGTTGCCTGAAGATCGGCAATCCCCGATAAAGAGGCTAAACTCAGAATACGTGTGTCCTTCGGGAAATCCCTCAACTCCAATCAGGAATCCAGGACACTAAACCACAAACTCTTTGTTCTATCCCCTGCACCCCCCAACCTCCTGGATTACCCCGCCTGGAGGCTTGAACAACGGGAATATTGCTTCGGGGCGTGATAGGCTAAAATTATCCATGGGGGAAGATACAATCTTTCTAAGATGAAGGCTTGTGCACTAACCCCTAACCCTAAGCTCTAAACCCCCAGCCCTAAACGACCCAGCACCGGCCGGGGTCCGAGCAAGCAATAGCCAAAACCAAGTCATGAGGCTGGCAACACCTGCAAGTCAGATTCCTAGCTCGGGTTCGCGTCCTAAGGGCCCTGCTAAAGAGTCTCAAACCTTACATCCTATACGGTTCCGGATTTAAAGTTGAAGTTGCCAGGCAGTTAGATTTAGCACTTGCTGTCTGAGCGCTGCAGATCTCGCAAAATCGCCATGAACATGCTGGGGGTAGAAGTGCGCTGAAAGAAGCATTGGGGGGAATTCTCTGCGTCCCCTCTTGCAAGCTCATATCAAGCCGTTTCCACAGAAAACACATGCAGTGCTGGCGCTTTCCCTTTTAGGCTTTACCGTGGAGTGGTGTTTGGTGGTGAAAGGTTTTTCTGTTGACTTTTACCCACACGCAACATGCAATCCGCTTTAGTCTTGAGCCTTGCCTATAAGGGGCCAAGCCTCTGAACCCTACGTCAAGGTTCAGAATATAGTTTGTTCCTCAAGGTTTGAAACTGCGGATTGTTGGTTTTTGCTTGCACCTTCGTGGTTGCTGTATCCAGGTGCTCGGCCTTCTTCATGACGTTATCAAGCCAAGCCCTGAACACCAAGCAAGAAGGTAGGGTCCGTGAAACGGTCACCGGAACCATCTGGCCTATAATGATTGCTTATGTTGGTATTTCCCAAAACAGCGCACAATTCGCCACAGTACCCCTTACAGGGGACCCCCTCATTTCCCTACACTTCTCTCCGCTATACATCCGCAGGATCGCTTAGGGATGTACTGAAATCTACGGAAACCCCCACATGCCCAGCTTGCCTCGTCAGCGTTGACCAGCTCCCCATGCCTGCCCAACATTATGTTATATGACGTTTATACCGCCCCAACTTCCATTTCGGTGTCCATTTCCTTGTCCATTGAAGAACACAGGTGCAAAGATAGAAAGAGCAAAGCTGGCAAGCAGGTAGCATACTGCAAGGGGCTTCAAGCAACGGAGTTTACATCTCAGCACACACAGCTGTATAAATGTCATGATGACATGACCGTGTTCTTGCCTGCTTTCCTCCAGCTTTGAATCTGTTACAGCCATGTCAAAACTCACAGGGGGGCAACCAGCAGCATGCACACATGCCATCTCAGTCTGCAGATACCGGATGCCATTTCTTTGAAGTTCAGCCCCCTGCCTTGGTCCAAATCTGCAGGAATCATTGCAATGCAAACTGCGCAACTGGGATGTCCCATCCAAGCGCTTCCATTTGTGTGCTGGGTGGATGGTCTCCGGCTAACTGTTGGCAAGCATAATATCGCTGTCCTGAAGTTGGAAGTGGAATGGAAGAAGGATCGACATCAAACATGGTGCTGCTTGTGGCCGAAACGGCGTCACACCGAATAATAGCACGCAGAGACAACAAACATGCGTGGAGACTACCATGTTTGCACCTCAAACATAGGGATGAACATAAAATAGACCATGTTGCTGCATTGCATGCCGCCAAAATGAACCGCACTTCTCCCCCTCAGCCTGCACAGCCACCATCTTGCCAGAAGAATCTGTTTCTTTGCCTCTTTCAAAATCCTGCCTTACAAAAGAGACAAAATGACAGTTTGACAGCGAATCCCAACACGGCTCGTCAAGATGATAATTGACAACCTGCAAACAAAA